TTGTTTTCATTTGCATCTCTCGAATGACCAGTGATGTTGAACATTTTTTCATGTATTTACTTGCTATTTCTACTTCTTTGTCTGAGAAATGTCTGTTCATTTCAGATGCCCATTTTCGGATTGGGTCTTTAAATTTGGGAAGTCTGATCTTTTCAAGTTCTTTATATATTCGAGATAGTAGACCTTTGTCTGAGGAAGAGCAGATGAAGATTTTTTCCCACATTGTGGGTTGTCTCTTCCCACTGCTGGTGGTTTCTCTTGCTGATGCATCAGTTTCTTTGTACCTCAAGTCTCCCTATGGCTTGGGGAAAGCTTAATATCCTGCACTGTAGCTGGAGAAAGAAACTCAGGTAACTTGAGGATTTTTCTTGATATTGAGAACAAAACAAAATATTTATTCTTGTGCCAATAAGTTAGAACAGACTCTCCATCAAAATGACCTTGTATTTTGGGAGCATTTTTCATCGTAATATTCTTTAAAATGTGTCCTATTTTGTTTTGCATAGTGTCTTCGTGGATTTTTTCCTAAGTGTTAATAGATTTCATTTCCATACTTCTGCACTGAGTAGTGGTGTGGTATATATGAGAGGTCTTTACACTCTAGTAAGGGGATTTGTTTGAGAAGGAGAACTCTCAGACTCAATGCTGTGAGCTTCCCGGGGATTTTCTCTGGACCTTTCTGCTTGCAGTGACCACATTTCATGCAGTGCTATTATTACTGAATATCAACAGCATCTTTACTTAAAGACCATAAGTGTTTGCAAGCAATTTTCATATCATATTCATCCTGTTTTCTCCCTAAGTGTATTTCTTGTTTTACACTTCAGCATAAAGACATAAGCTGTTGTAAGAAATTGTGGGTTTTAAAAATCAAATGTCTAGTTTATCTCTCATTTTGAATGCATCACAAATATCTTTATGGAATTCCCCAGCTACCAATGACATTTATTTTCTTCAGAAAGCAAATGATATAAAGAAAGATACAGAAATAATGGAACAAATTAGAAATGGCCTCAGCCAGTATTTGAATATATTCGCTGAAATGACAGATGAGAAACACAGAAGAGAAAAATGGTTTTAGAACAGCTGGTCTTCTGATAATGGGGAAAACAGACTTCTTACACTATTCCTATAAAAATAATAGGATGTGTTCAAGAGGGCTCCTGGTGACTTTGTTCCTAATAACCCCACACTGGAAACACCCGATGTCCATTAACCTCGAAATGGACAGCAGACGGAGGCAAACCTACACAAGTGAAGACTGGTCAATAAAACAGACAACTCGGACCAAGACAAAATGCTGACTGAAGGAAACGAAACACAAAAGTCTATGTACTGTACAATGAAGCTTCCGGAAGGTTTAAGAATAATCAAAATGCACATATGGTGATGGGTACCAGGAACTGTTTTCTCAGATCAGGAAGCCAGGCCTAGGAGGAAGGGCACAACAGAGCCCTCTGGGGTGCTAGAAAAACTCTGTATTTTGAGCTGGGTGCTGTTTTCATGTGTAGAAATAGATAAGGCTGTACATTTAAGATTTATGTGAATGTACATGTATCTCAAATTGTATAAAGAAATTAAGGGCAAAAGCACTGCAGTTTATTGAGTGCTTACTATGTGCCAGGCAAAGTGCCAAGCTCAGGAAGCTCTCGAAGCAGTAAGCAATGCGCCACAGCTCAGATTCTGGGAGAAAATCCAGTTTTTGGTGACAGCAAATCCCAGGTACCAGTCTCCTTGCTTGGTGTCCGCTCTGAGCCTGAGCTGGGTCTCAGTCCTTGGAGCACGTGGGCCCTGTGCCCGACAGGTGGGCCCGGGAAGCGGCAGCCGCTCCGCTGTGTGTCAGTTTGATCACAATAAACCTCTGTTGCCGGATTAACGGAGCTGTTAGAACACTTCCCTCGCTGTTGGCTGTGTCAAAAGCCCTTGCCAAGTCTCAGGGACAGTGGCCTGATTGTTGAAGGGAGGAACTGACGGGAGGAACAGTGAATGGTGTTTTCAATATGGCACGGAGGTAGAAACAGAAAATGCATTATTTGTGGTATTTCTTCACATTTGAAGTTCACTCTGCCTGGATGCTCTTTGGAGAAAGAAAACCAGAAGTGAAGTTTCAGAACACATTTCCCTTCCATCTACTAAAATTCTCTCTGCTAAATTTAATTATTTTAGTTACATTTGTCAGAGGCATGCAGTTTCATTACAAAGCTGTTATTAACATCTATTAATGGATGTTGACTATCGTAATATTTAATGCAATGAGGGGGCAAATAGATGAATCACAGCTCCCCTAGAGTCTCCTAAAAGGGGAGCAGCGAGAAGCCCAGGCCTGGACCACCACCGTCTGTGTGGCAGCAAGCCCCACCAGCCCACCTGCGCCTGCCCTGGGCACCCAGGCTCTGTACCCAAGGCTGTCATCTTGCATGGCGGAGACTTTCTGTCATGCTGCTTTGCTTAGCAGATCTGAAGCGATTCCAACCGAGTCCACTGCAGACAGCTCATATGATTCCATTTAGGTAAACAAATCCAGCAGAAATGCCCCTATCTTCCTTTCAAATCCTCAAATTTGACTCCACATCTAAGAGACAAGAGTAGCAGTTGAGAATCTGACCATTTACTGACACCATGGCCTCTGGCAAGTCCTTCGGGTTCGGCGTGGCCCCTCAGTAGTCCTCTTTCACTACAAAATGAAGACAGTGATGACCTCCAAGATACAACGAGGATTATGCTAGAAAGCTAATATTCCTACTGGATTGCCTTGCACACAGAGTGAAGTCACTAAATAATGGTTAAAATAATTTAATAGAAGTAGCTAGAAGCCCAGCCCCACTCCCATAAAAAATATCAGTAAGGAATTCACTGCCAAACCCATATCTACTGACTTTATTTTCTCTACTTGTTACAAATTAGGCCTGAAAAGGGTGATTTTTTTCATGTTCTGCTGTGTTTCAAAATTTGCTAAATGTAGGATTTTTAAATTAGATCCCTAATTGGAATTAAGGAAACCTAATAAAGATGAAAAAATTCTAATTTTCTGACCTCAGAATCGGTTCATGTTGATTATAGATTCAAATCTTTTGGGGCAGAAATTCTGGGACACAAAAATACTTGGTAAGGCCTAGTTGGGTTCCCATGACACAGGGCAGGCATCAGCTCTGAAAGCTTCGGGGGGATCTTCTCACTCCCTCTTGGGTCTGGGGGGCAGCAGCCTCCACCACCAGCCCTCCCAGGCCCATTGGCCGTGCTCAGAAGGTCTCCACCACCATCTCCCGGGCTGCCAGCTCAGCCTGCCCACCCGACCTCAGGGATAGCGCTCATTTCTGTCCCTACCCTAGGCCACTGGTCCAGTTCTCTGCACATGTTATTTTACATCTGGCTTAGAATAATTTTAAAAATTAAAGTGGAACCAGCTTTGTTACATGCGGGTCCGAGTGGAGCATCTTAGAATAAAGTCTGACCAGAATGTGGACTGAAGAAAAGAACAAGCAGGGCAGAGCCCTCCTCTGCTCACTCAGAGTATCTTGAACTGTTTTCTGTCCCTCCCTCTTCATCTAGTAGGTGGCACTCCTGAGTGAGGCCTCTGGCCAAGGGGATGAGGTGGCTCCAAACCCTGCCCTGCTCCTATCTGGCTGTAGGTGAATGCTCTGGGGTGTCTGGCTGATGCATGACAGGCGTCTCTCTGTCTTGCTGTTCAAGGCAGGGGCAGGCAGCGGATAAAAGGCTGTATGACGCCACCTGCTGAAACTGGCTCTTCTCAGGACAATGTGGAGCTGTCTCTGGGAGCGTGGACTCTGGACCACCCGAGGCCTGACCCCAGGCTTCCAGCTTCTTGGGCAATATTTTAGATCTGACAACAACAGCAGCTTATCTACAACTTTCTGGCTCCCCTTCCTAACTCATCTTTCCCATCTAAACCTTGCCTCCCAGGTTACCACTGATTGGGTCATTTTGTGCAGGACAATTTAGCAGCCCCGGGGCTTTCTCAGACTTCCTAGCAGGCCAGCCGCTCTGACCCACCCTCTCGGATGGGACAGACTGGTGTGACCTGCCCTGCAGGGCCAGGGGTCTGCTGCTGCCTCCTGCCTGCTCCAGGGAAATCGCTACAAAACCACCTCAGGCAACCACTATCGGGCATCTGTGTCTTCAGGACTGCGCTCTTCTTGCTTTAAATGCGCAGGATGCCTTTACCTGTAAGGTATTTCAGTGCCCCTGAGGGAACCCAGCCACATTTGAGAGGCTGCCTCTGTGTCTGGCAGTTAGACACTCGAACATTTATCAGGAAGCTGTGGGCTTCCCAGGCTTCCGGCAACATTTTGCTTCTGATGGCAGGGAAAACCCTAAGAACCCACCAGCGTTCTTAAATAAAAAGCACTTTATCTTTTGGTGCCCCGCCTCAGTCTAGGACCGGATGTATGGATTTAATTCCTGTCACACTTGGGCCCGAATAATTCTGTTGGTGAGGGGGTTGCTCTGTGTACTGTGGGATTTAGTGTATCCTGGCTTCTACTGTCTAGATGCCAGTAGCACCCCCAAACCCAACAGTGACAACCAGGAATGCCCCCAGACATCCGAATGCCCCCTCTGCACAAAACCCACCCCCTCCTCCCCAGCTGAGAAGCACAAGTCTAGGTCAGTTTCTATAGCAGGGAGTTGGTTGATTTATTTTTGCACTTTTAATAAATACTCCAAGGTCCTGCTCATTGGCTTAAAGGACTCAAGTGCATTTCTTTTTCAAAAGATTCTAATTGAAGAAACAATAATAAGGCAGTGCTGGGAAAGCTTTAAGGAATGGCAATGCCCAGCGGAAGGAGGCGATGGGTGAATCGTATTCAAGGCTCAGCTCAGAGTGGCAGTCTGCTGCCCGCCTACTCTATTAGATTATCTGGTATTTCTCGGGTTTTCATTGCTTGTTTTTGGTTCGTATTGTTCTTTCTCTTTCTCTCCTTGCCATCCTCTCTCTAAATAATTAACTCGGTTTCCAAATGGGCCGAAGACTGCCTCCCGAGAGTCTGGGCCCGCACTCACAGACCCAGGGCAGTGCAGATGCATTTCTCTCTTGCTGCCCAGGCCTTCCTTTGCTGTCACTGAGGAATCACCAGGCTGTGTTCACACAAGGCCAACTAACTTTCATTTAGTCAAACTCCAGGCTACTGTATAAATGACTTCAGTCCAACAGAGTTGTCTTCGAATCCCGTAACTGGGAGGGAAAGTGGAGAAAGTCATACCCTCCCTGCTCCAGCCCCCGTGCCCTGCCCTGCTCTCAGGGGTGGCAGTTCCTGCCTGCCTCGGAAGGGCAGTCCTCTACTCCACTCGCCCACCAGGCCTGGACCTTGGGGTGCTAATCTGAGGGGTGCAGGGAAGGGCACAGAGCACCCTGAGCCCCTCCTGCCCTGCAAGGCCACAGGACGCTCTGCCTGCACTGGCCAACTGTGGGCGCTGACCCCGGTGGCGTGTCCGCGCAGGCATGGGGTTTATGGAAAGTTGGCCTGTGGCCTTGACAGTCAGGAGTGAGAGCTGGCAGAACCACTGCCTTCGGTGGTTTCTCCCGTCTCTGAGTTGCTTTTCTTTTAAGTTTTTAAACATAAGCAGTACATTGCACGCCAAGCCACAAGGTTCAATTTAGCATTTGGGGGTAGTTATTTTAATTTATTTTTACCTTATTCTTTACCATGCAATCAAAAGGCCAGCACCAAGGACTGGGCGTCACTCTCGCATGACAGAGGTGAATAAAAAGAAGTGAGCTATTTTTAAAGTCCTACTTCTGCTCAGCCAGCGACCATTTCTTCACAGTAGCCATATTCGTCTCAAAATAATGCCATCCTCATAACATAAAAACACCTCCCCGGGTTCTCCAGAGCCTGCTGCTAAGCTAGCACAGGGAGGTAATTAATTTACTATCTCGTGTTTTCCTTTAATAGACAGAGCTCCAATGTCTCTTCCCCGGGCCACCCTCAAAACATTTTTGCAACAAGACTTTTAAAAATCAGTCTTGAGGCTGTTTAACCAAAAGAGGAGGCTGTCCCTGAAAGCAGCTGTGAAGGGAGCCACATACACATTCTGATGGAACCGCGATTGTGTGAGTAGATGGGGTTTTTATGTTAAAACACAAACCTGTGGCCTCAGAGCTGGAGTCTGACTCGGCCGCCGGCTGCCAGACTGGGTTTCGTCCCTGGTGCTGGCTCCTTCCTGGCAGGTCAGAGAGGAGTCACGAGGAAGAGCTGTAAAGCAGGTTACTCTAATCAGCTGAGAAGAAGCCCAGGATGATACTTAAATCAGCACCATGGGATGTTTGGACGCCAAGTGTATGACTCCATATTTTCCAGGAGTGACCAGGGTAGACAGCAGTTGCTGCCGAGTATATTCGGGGCCATTTAGCCTTCTTTACTCCACATCCAGAGCACCATTGTGCAGGTAGCTCACTGAATAATACTGTTTCTAAGAAAGTAAGACCTAGCTGGAATACAGTCAGCCCTGAAAACTAGAGATCAAAAATGCCAGCCCCGTCAGCCTCTCCTCACCTCTCCTGCCTTCCAAGGAGGGCAATGTCAGATGCATCTTTAAGGGCCAGCGCCAGACCTGCAGTCAGATCACCACTGTCCCAAACCCCAGGTCAGCAAGATCGGCTGTGAGGCTCACTGGCCCAAAGTCCGGACTTCAGAGCTATCTCTTCCCTCCTTCTCTCCAAGAGGCCTGGGCCCCAGGGCTCCTGACACCCGGCGCAGCCCAGCTGCCCGGGCTGCTCTCTGTGGCCTCAGAATTACTATTTGGTGCCCTCCCCAGCTGCTGGGTGACAGAGGTCATAGCTAGAGCGCCCCACATCCTAATTTGAGCTTTTCTAACACAAACATCTGAAATGCAAAACTTTTATTAGAGTATATCTAAAACTTTTACATATGATGCCTCTAGTGGAAAATTACACTCATGAAACTTTTATAAACAAAATTACTTTCAGGCCAGGTGGATAAGATATGTATAGGTAAATAAATTTTCTATTCAGGCTGGGGCTCCTCTCCAAGATATCTCATTATGTATAAGCAAATATTCCAAGATCTCCGCCCCTCAAAAATCTAAAACACTTCTGGTCCCAAAGATTTTGGGTAAAGGATATTCAGCCTGTATTAGAATTATAAATGCACTAAATTAATTATATATGTTATGTGATCCATCTTACACTCCCCTCCCCCTTTCTTACTAAATCTTTGAAATTCAGTGTGCATTTTGCACCCCAGCTTGGTTCGGGGCCTGACACCCCCACACCAGCCGGCAGTTATAGATGAATAAAATGAGCCCCGACCTTTAAAACCTCTTCTCGCCTGAGATCCTGCAGTTAGTGCTGCTTCTCCGGGAAAATTCAGACACATCAGTCAGTCACCCGGGCGCAGGCGTGGTATTTTATTTTATTTGTAAGCTCCTTCTGAACGGGTTCCTTGTCTCCAGAAGCTGTTTTCATTCTCAAGCCTCCTACGCGTTGCTGGATATTTGGGGCGGGCGAAAGTGGTCCAGATAGGACCTGGGGGAAAGGCGGTTTCCCAGGCCGGGGACGCAGGCGCTGTGTCTGGTCTGGCCCGGGCCACCCATCCACTCAGCGCAAGACCCGCGGCCTCGGGTGGAGCGGGCTGAGGATGCCTCTGTGGAAGCCTGGCAGACTGGTTCTGTGGGACAGGCCGGAGGCTGCGGGAACGCAGGGCCAGGCAGACACCGGAGATGGTGCGCTTTGCGTGAGGTTGTGCGGGTTACGGAGGTGGCGCCTGTCCACCTGGCCTCTCCTCCCGACCACCAAGCTCACTTACGCTGTTCTGGGTACTTTACGGCCTTTACAGTCGGGCTGCGGAAGGGACAGGTCCGCAGGGCGGCACCTTCTTCCACCGGCTGGGCCCAACCGCCGAGCGAAATGCAGACCAAGAACCCCACGGCAGGCTAAGCATGGTGGGGCAGGGCTGTAATGCCGGCTACTCAGGAGGCTGAAGCAGGAAGATAGCAAGTTTGAGCCCAGTCTGGGCGACGTGGTGAGACTCGGGATATTGCTCACTGCTCCCTAGGTTCGATCCCTAAAACCACTTCCCAACTCAAAATACAGGTGACTGCGTGCTGGAGATAGATGTAGCAGAGCCAGAACCTTGTGTCTTGTTTTTACTCTTGTGGCTAGGTGTGACCTTGGAACAGTTATTCCCGCACGCTCGAGGCTTCAGTTGTTTCCACCTGCAAAGCGGAGCCTGGAATCCATATTTCATAGGGTGACTGGGGAAAGCAAGAAAGAGAATCTAAATCACTGGGCACAGCACCCAGCAGAGGAGGAAGCACAGCATAAATGCTAAGTCTTTATAACTGCCGCTGCTACTACCATTTCTGTAACATCAAGCAACAAATGTGTGTCCAGTGTGTACCAGACCCGGAGACGGCCCTGGCAGGCAGCTTGCTCCCGAAAGTGCGTTATCATTGTGACCATGCTAGGGCTTGACTTGCAGAACAAAGTGGATCAACACAGCTTTATCTTCAACTTCAAGCTTCCCCGGTCGACTTAGGACAGCGTCCCTGCCAAGCCGCCTCCAGGAGGTAAAGTCTTGAGGGGGTAAACAGCAGATGGACTCAGGCGGACTCGACACAGACGCGATCAGCCCCTCATACTCAACTCCATGCCTGTCTTCCAGATCACTAGCTGCAAATCCTGTCTGTGCTGCTGACGGCTGCCTGCCTCGTAAACTTCATTACATTCGCTTATGCATAGGAAAGACCCTCTCCCGCCAGCTCAGCCAAGACAAATCTGGGGCTTTTCAAAAGGAACTGGATGAGGAAACTGTTTCCTTAAGAGCCTTTGTGGGTACTGAGCCCAAACACCAGGGAGCCCTGGTGACAAGGTGTATGTAGAGAGACCTTAGAGTAGGTGACTCTCTGGTCCCCTCCACCCTGGGATCAGGGCAGCTGGGACAGACTCTGTTCCCTGAGAGGCGCCTCCCTGTGCTGATGGCAAGAAGGAAGCTGGGAACCTTGACTATTGTGAGCCAAGCAGGAGGAGAGCAAAGACGCTGAGGGCAGCGTGCTGAGCTATGCATCTCACACGTGAGCAGGAGAGAGACACTGCAGGGGGAGCTGGGACTCGAGGCAACACGTGACCAGCTCCCACATGTTCTCCTTGAGTCATGCTGTCCCGGTGTCCAGGTAAATATGGCGTCCGCTGTGCTCCCAGATGGCTGCAGTGCCCAGCAGCCCACTTCCATTGAGTGTGAGGGGGAGGAAGAACGGTCCTGCCAGGAAAAGCCGACAAGCTAAAAAAATCCCTGCTTCGGGTTGTATTCAGTCCTGGGCCTTCTGCTGACTGCTGGCCCGGAAGTTTGTTCCTCTCCTCGCTGGCATGGATGCTGGTGAAGTCAGCAACATAAAGGTGCATTAAAAAAAGCAAAACAAAATTAAAAGGAAATACCACAGAAGTTACACATGCAGCCTAACATCCCTGAAACTCCGTCTAAAATTGCCTTGGTTAGTGCGGCTTACTGGTCACAGAGACCCACAGTCCCTTTTTTATTTCTCGGCTGTATTTTGAGTCCTATGGCTCGAAACTGGGGACAAATAGACAGCACTGGTTAGGTCAGCCCAGAATCTGCCTTCCCTGCCCGAATCTGCATAAACGTCATGTGGCAAGCTTGCGTGACACAGGGCACGCTTGAAGCAGAGTGTGCTTCGGTGTAGCAAAGCTGCTTCTGAGTCCTCACTGCTGCTGATTAGCTGTGTGACTCGGGAAGGTTCCTCATGCCCCGCAGACTCAGTTTCCCACCAGCAGAGTGAGGGGAGGCCCTGGAGCTGAGTTGGTGGTCAGGAGCTCAGGCCCTGGGGTTAGACTGCACCTTGGACTGCAGGGTGAGCTCCAAGCTTCAGTTCCGCTCCGGATAAGTGGGAGAGTCCCTGATTGGTGGAACTGAGGCTGGCCCAGTGGGCGTGCACACACACACACACGTACGCACACACATGCACTGGCACATGCACACCCAGTGCCGCCCAGCGGTCGGCAGGAGCTCAGCGTGTCAGCTCTCACTGTGCACCAACAGCACACCTTGCTCCTAACAAGAGCTTGTGAAACTGAGTCCGCTCTGCTGCCGCTGTGTGCTCTGCCCCAGTGTGATCCGTGTTTCTGCTTCCCGGTCCCGCTCCTCACTTACCGCTGCGTGCTCTTCCTATCTTCTCACTCACCCACCAGGAACTGTCCCAAGAATTACGCAGGGGGAGGAATAGGCACCAGGGATGACCGACAGGATGAGAAAGCTGGAGTCCTGGGGAGGAACGACACAGCCAGGGTTGATGGACCTGCAAGTTACTGCCACACCCAGGGCTGTAACCAGGCTTAGCCGGCACCCCTTCCTGCTGCCTGGGAGACCTGAGGAGCTGCGTCATGCTGTTGCTGGTGGAACAAACCTCGAACCCCAAAGCTTGTTCTGGAGTCTAGGGAGAAATAGCTGGAATCACTTATGTATTATAAAATAACTAGCCCCACATGCTAAAAATTACTTTTAAGATTCTGAAATTAGGCAAGGCTTCCTAATACATCTCTTTCATTATCAACATCCATGGAAAGTTTATTATTTTAAATCAAGTTTTGTTTCCTTTTCGAAATGCCGTCTAGCATGTCCAGCATATTTACACCAGAAAACCTGGTGTTTCTGTCCACAACATGAGAGTTTGTGTTGCGCATCTTTAGAAATCGGTATCTGCACTGATGGGTAAGCAGAATGAGTGAGGAACTGGTCCATGCTCTCCAGTGGCTTCAAAGTCTCCTCTGCCCCAAGTGGAGCTCAGCTTCACAGGGAGTGCTCTGGGATGAAACGTGCCCAACCGCAACCTCACAAGCATGTCCTGAGCTCCACAAGGAAGCTGCCTCCATTCCCAGCACCTGGCTCCTTCACACACCCTCTGACAGGAAGCCAAGGACAGTCACATGCGTCCTGCGGCGCATGCCCATGGGCTGACCACCGGCACCAGGTGGGCTCCCTGGGTCTCAGCTGCCTGGCAGAGCTACGCCAGGTGACCGACAGTTCTGAGCCACAAGGCTCTGCACACAGGGCTCCTGGGTCCTGGGAGGCCCTGGGGCTTTCCCTCGCATGGGACCCCATGGAGTGAAGTTCTGGTATCCAAGTGCAGCACTTCTTTATTCCAAATGAGAATGATTTCCTGTATCATGCCCATTTGAATGGTCATAATGTAATATTGAGACAGTGTTGGAAAGATCATTTAAGTATCTAACATCCTACTCGAAACCGGGTGATAACAACTGTTACCATGCTGCTATCCTTGTAGGTATAAAAAATGCACACAACTTACTGAATGTCCTGTTTTGTAATTGTTTTTTTTACTCCTATATGATGGAGGCTTTTGCAAACAATACCATTACTTTTAGTGGTGGCCTAGAATTTCTTTGGGGGTTTTTTGGTAAAGTTCTTTAAGTTGTTTCTAGATTTTTTTTTTTTTTTTGGTGGTTGATAAATATTCTTCTACATTCCTGTAGTTTTTCTAGGTCAAAGGGCAATCAATTTAAACTTTTCATGTGTTTCTAGATTACCTTCTGGAAAACTCTAGAAATTTCTATTCTCACAGGCAATTTATGGGGTCCGTAATCAGAGGTCAGTTTCCTAAGTACATTGTAACAGGGCAAAAGGAGCACAAGATATCCACCAGCAGAGATGGAGTTACTTCTCCAGGCCCTGATTCTTCATCTGTCTTCCTGAGTCCCACCTCCACTTTAAAACTCTGGCATGACGTGGAAGCAGCAAGATGCAAAGAAAGAATTAGCATAACATGAGCAACAAATACAAAACTCCTTACCACAGAGATAAAGAAACTAGAAAATACTATGAGAATTTGAACTACAAAACAAAGCAAAGTCAAATAAGCAAACAGAAAGAGATAAGAGATTTAATGTGAAAATGTGAGTGATAGCTCTTTTGCTTTGCTTCCTTTTGAAATTAGGTTCTCTGAAGACAGGCATTAGCACTCATATTTAATGATCCTTTTAAATGTCATAGCTTTGAAGTTCTGGATAATATTTTAATGATCTTGCTAGCTTTCCCTAAAATGATTTTCTAAGGGGCCACAAATACTTAGTCTCATGGACATTATCAGACAATGCCTTTGAGAGTCTTAATAATGATGAGAAAAATTAATATTTAGAAGTACAAGGATTTCATCAGTAGATGAGAATAATAGTTTCTTTTTGTAAAATTAGTTTCAAATGAAGTCTATGTTTATTATTTGTCTATGAATACAGGAAGTTTTTTATAATAATAATAAAAAAGATACTTGAGATTTATCTGTTTTAATTTTTCCTAAACTGTATTCACACAGATTCAGAAAAATACAAAAGGACAATACTCCTGTGTGACTACAGATGCTCAGATGAGAAGAAAATGCCATTTGTGTGAGAAAGAACCTAGGACCTCCTTTTAGGGACAAAGCTTCTGGACTGCTGGGAACTTTCAAGGCCTAGTTATACCCAGAGATAGAGGAGAGCGTCCTCTGTCCTCAGAAGCATCACGCGGAGGAACACAGGTGCCTCCCGGCTGGTGAGAGGTTCTGAGATTGTGAGGAGGGCCTGGCTGCAAGCCAGCTCACTGTGCCTTGGTGCAGATGCTTGCTGTGCTTAATCATGTCCCCGGTAAGTCAGGGCAAGCCCTCAAAGACAACAGTGTTCTCTCAGTGACAGAAGCGTGGAAATCCCAATGCACATTCTGTCCCTGTGGATGTGCAAGTCTGAAGCCCTTCCCACTTTGTCAGCCACTCTTCCCTTTGCATCTCCACCCCTGCTTTACATCAGTGCAGAAGAGACCGTCCGTGAATCAGAGGCATCTCTATTCTTTTTTTTTTTTTTTTTGGTACCAGGGATCAAACTCAGGTCCTTGTGCTTGCGCAGCAGGTGGTGAAACTGCTGAGCTAAATCCTCGGCCTTTGGCATCTCTATTCTTGGAGACACCTGGCCCCAGACACCCTCTGCCCTTGGTAACTTCCTCTCATCACAGATGAAATCCTTCCTTTACCTCCTGACTATGTCTGCTGCTTCTTCTTCGGGTTTCTAGGAGCAAATCCCAGCAGTCTGTAGCAAGTTCAGCAGTGCATCTGCATGCCTACTTCAACAAACACATATTAAACTCTCTTTGCATGTTGGGCAGTGTGCTGAACTCCTGAGACATCCTCTCTTTACTAGGCCGTCCAGCCGGGGAGTGAGCACACATGGGTGCTCACAGTAACTGTACTGTGTTTGCAGGAAGACTCGTGCCGAGCCATCATGGTGCCAGCATTCCCAGCAACTGTTTGCACTAGCTTCTCCTAACTGGCAATCCTATGCTGCCTCTCCTCAGAGTGTAACTCCCTGAAAGTTTGCACCAAATCTTGTAGTGACGGCCAGGTGAGCAGCTGGGCAGACTGTGGACACTCCCCCTGTGGGCTGTGCTGGGGATG